CCATATGTACATTTTTTTTAGTTGGGTTTAACAATAAAAAAAACGGCTTTTTGTAGCGATTCAGAAAACCGGAAAAATCAGTTATCCGGAATAGCGATGGTCCCGATCGTTCCGGATAATCGGTTCCCTACTGTACTTCAAAATTCATTAGGTAAAAAAAAAAAAAGAAAAATGCCGTCTTGTAAAAAATGGATAGGCTGCTTTTGCAGTCTTTATTCTAGAAAACTCTTCAAGTGTGGTGTTAACCTGCTTGAAATGTATATTGTTTTTCAAATCTCTGCCTAATCCTTAAATTTTTACTTAAATCTGCTTCTAAATTTTTATTTTTTGCTTATTAATGAAATTTAGATGCAGATTTAAGCTTAGATTGCACTTTAGTAAACAGCAATGAAATATATTTTTAAATTATTAAGCTGCTGAATTTCTTTTGTTGTTACTAACTATAATGGATTTCTAAAGTTTTCTAATTTGTATTAATTATTGCATGTAATATTTTTAAAGGCGAAGCAATGGAACAAGGATTGAGAGATTGTTGCCGTTCAATCCGTATTGGAAAGATATTAATTCAAAGTGATGAGGACACCCATGAAGCCCATGTAGTGTATGCTAAGTTTCCGGATGATATTTCTTCTAGAAAAGTTCTACTCATGTATCCTATTATGAGTAAGATTATTTCAATGCTCTTTTTTAATTATTTTAGCATCATTTTAGACTAAATTATGCTTAGATTAAAAGTTGGTACTATTTTTGTCTTTTTATTGTGGATAAATTGCTATAAAACACTCAATGCATTTTGTTGTTAAATATTAACTATTACTTTGGTTACTGATATATATTTCTTTATCTTGTATTGCTATATCATTGATACTATCACTGTGTCACATGGCTTGGTTATAACAGGGTGCATAGCAGTTTTAAAAAGTTCTTAAAGGTGCTTATTTTTGATTTACATTTTTTAAAAGTCCTTAAAGGTGATTTTTTTTATTCAGGGTTTTTAAAAAGTGCTTAATTTTCAATCTTTTAAAGAGAGATTTTTTCTTTACCCTGTTGATTGTCGTTTTAAATTACAAAAAATGCATGATTTTACACAATTTTCTCTGCAATATTTATAAGTAACTAGTTATTTTATCATGATTATGTGAAATTTGTTGCATTTGAATTTTAGTGATTTTCTGTTCATAACTTTAAATGATAGAAAAAATAATTTTTATTACTGCACAGATCCTAATTATGTTTTTTTTGGAAAGTGATTAAAATTATTTTTTGAGTGTGTAAAAAGTACTTAATAGGTGCTTATATTTTGTTGAAAAATTTGGCTATGCACCCTGTATAAATAATGTTGGTAATGCTACCGATACTTATAGCTATAATAATATTTCATTAATTATTTCTTTGTACAAGTGATCTTAGAGTATATAATATCTTTTTAAAAATCTACATATTATTTAAAATAATATTCAGTTTTTAACTTTTTATACTTTTGATAATAAAATATTGATCAGCAATCATTGTTATGCTTAACAATTCTGATTATTTTTTTAAAAAAAATTTAGAAATTTTTTTTAATGCAGTTAACATAGCTTGTATACATCTGTACTGTTAGAAAAGAATCAAAATTGTGATATCTGTTGTGGCTCAAATGTGCTAATATTTAATGAACAAACACTGTTCAGTTAAATGTAAAACAATTTTTTTTCCATATTTGCATCTCTTTCACGGTAAACATCTTAAAGGCATCTCTTGTGAACATCTTATTAAACATTGTGAAGGCACTTTTTTATTATACACCAGGGATCTGATTAAAGTAGACAACAGCATATCATTGTGGTATTTATTCAGCTAACACCTTTTTAATTCTTTAATGTCAATTGTTTTTACCAGGGTAAAAAAAAAACTAGCTGACTGTAGTAAATTGGGATTTTTTTTCTTCTTAAAAAGGACCAGTCAATCTGAAGAATTGCTAAATATTAACAATTGTTAATTATAGTGGGAAATAAAAAGTCTCATTCATTAATTATTTGGTTGGAGCCATGTATAACAAGGAACTGTGAAAACAGAAAAATTCTCTTTAAATCCTCTCTTGCTAAATTTGAAATCATGTTTGGTACAAAAATAATAAACATAACAAATAATTTGCATGGATTGCTTCATTTTAAACATTTTAATTAGGTATTGTAATATTTTTTCTCCTTTCTCAAAGAATTTGAAAATTTTGGTTTTTTTTTGTTTACGAATTATGATGAAATTGAATATCCTAATTGATATGTTAATATTTAATGAATGAACACCATTCAGTTAAATGCAAAATGAATTTTTATCTATAATTGTATCTCTTTTACTGTATATTTTATTAACTATCTTGAAGGCACTTTAATTAATATGATTTATTGATAGTTAAAGCAAATTCCAGTATGAAAATTGTTTTACTTATATCCTTGCGTTGAAAGCATATTAATGATTAATCATTAGGGTGTTACACTACTGTAGAGGATATATCAATGAGATAAATATACTTTTCTTTATCTGCATTTTATTAATATAGATTAAGTAACACTTTATCACACATAAAGAAGAACTTTTTGTGATTTAATTAATAAGGTATTTATTAGCAGTTAAGCGAATTCCGGTATGAACAATGTTTTGATTATATCCCTGCCTTGATAGCATCTAAATGAAACGTCATTAGGTTGTTACACAAGAAGATATATCAAAGATATAACTATACTTCTTTTCTGCATCTCGTTAATGCTAATTAAGGGGCATTTTCTGGCACATTAATATTTAATTAATGGGACAATTAATTAATTAACCAGGACAATTAATTACAGATAAAGCAAATTTAGTATAGATATTTAATTGCATGTAACCCTGGCTTGACACATCTTAAAAGACTTTACTTATAAAAATAATATATATGGTAACAAAAACTTATTGTTGGTGGTACCTAAATATGACTAAACACATAAACTATGTTTATTTTTTTATTTATTTTTTTCCAATGGCAGGCACTGAATTTAAATCTTTGCCTATGCTATGCCAGAATTGTTGCTCATTTCGCATTACCCAGTGGGCACCTGTGAACCAAAGTCACGGAGGCGAGCAAGATTGCCCACGCCACTCTGCCACAAACCCGTTTATAGGGTGGGCCACATTCATACATCATACACACATGCAGCAGAGGACAGCACAAAGAGAGAGAGAAACATCCATGTCCAGAGCGGGATTCGAACCCTCAGCCTATGGCTTCGCAGTCAGGCACGCTAACCGCTCGGCCATCTGGCCGACAAACTATGTTTATGCTTTTGTCATAAATTTTCTCTATAATCTTTAGATAGTATTTATAAAATGTATTAAAATATATTTGCATTTATAGGTACTGGAAATACTGTTATCAAATCTGTCAAGGTATTAAAAGACCATGGAGTCAAAGAAGACAACATTATTTTGCTGAATTTATTCTGTACGCCTCATGGTATGTATACTTTTATACCACTACTATTTGCATTTGTTTTAAATCAGTATCAGCGAAACATTATTTCTTAAGTTTAAATATTAATTATTTGTATTATCTGGAATTACCATAAAAACATTTAAACCCTATTATATTTACATTTTTTTTGTTCTCTACTTAGTAATTAATAGATAATATGGCTGTCTTACTGTGTTTTTATTTTTTTTTACTGTAAATTTCAATTCATTTTGTAAATAAATTTATAAATCTAAATTATTAATATTTAAGTTCCATTTTTGTGAATATCAAAAATGGAACAATTCTCTGCCTGTGCTTTTGTTGATTTTAGATTTCTTCTATTTTACAATATGTTTATTAATGTATGTTTTAGATAACTTACAATAGAGTTATTATGAATGTCTATAGACATTAAATTCTTTTTTTTAAATCCATGCTTTACCATTTTCTGAGGTTGTTGAGAAGTAACCACCCTGCCAAAAAATTTATGTTAATTTATTTTATATTAATATGTTATGTAATATTCAAAATATTAAACTAATAAAAAGGAACTTTAACTCCATAGATTGATAAAGATTAAGATCAGACCCTGGCAATTTGTAAATGCAGTTTATTAGGTGAAGGTCATTCACCTATTTTTGTGGTAAAGTTTTTGTTGTACCAATCTGGATTTGATTAGTTTCACTAAGTATTTTATTAGTTTTATTTTTCTCTTAATTAAGTCTTTATGTTGTTAGGTAATATGATAATCTGAATAAGTTTTAAGCAAAAGTTTAAAATTTTTCCTAAGTTATTCCTGTGTTAAAGTGGTTAGCAAAATTTTTTTAAGTGGATCATTTTTAAATTTCTTTATACAAATTTTTTTGCTGGTAGGATACATTTCTATTTTAGTTTACATAGTATATTAGGAATATCTTCGAAAATGTATGTATATCATTTGTAAGAGTTTAATATATTATTATTTTGGTGCGTATAAGGATAAGGTTATTTATGTATTATTTATTAAAATGGATGGGTTGCATAATTGGATGTATCTCTGGATATAGTCATGATAAATAAAATTAAGGCCGAAATATATAACAGGGTAATTATAAAATTAAGGGGGAATGTGATCGTTGAGGAAAGTGGTAGTACAATGCTAATGTGGGATAACAATAACCCAATAGGTCCAAAGGGTCACAAAGTGTGAGGTTTGAACAAATTGGATAAATTGATATCATCGAATTTTGAATAAGGGTTAAAACTAAAAATAAATAAAGATTAATGATAAATACGATAAAGTCATGCTATATCCAAACAATATATACATGATTTAAACAGTAAGCTGATGTTTCCAATAAGAAAAACTAATAAATTCACATTTATGCATGCCCATAACAAATAAAAAAAGGTACTCACCACATACAGAAGGAAAAAAGGTGATAGCTAATAGCTATAAAGGTAAAGCTAAAAAAACAATCACACAAAACTTTCTGTTCAACTAAACATTTATTTTTGTAAAAGTACTTATTTTGATTATTTCGTAACAAACAAACAATATGATTGCAACGCATTTTGTAGCACAGAAAAAATATATCTTTTAAAAGGAAATGGGTGACAAGAGAATTTAACGAAACCAAAGGCGTCATGCATAAAGTTAAATATAAAAGAACGATTAATTTAACCGCTAAAATAAATATGAAAAGAAAACTTAAATTTGAGAGGGCTTTTAATGTTAAAAAAAATTAAAGGTATAAAATGTTGATTTTAAATTTTACAGAAATTGATTACAGCTATGGATTTAATTTAAAATAAAGGTTAAGAAAAAATGTAAAAAAAAATCCCTCAATACGGACCAAAGTCCACATCTCGGAGAATAAAAAAAAGGTAACCTCCCCAAAAGGTCGAGAGAAAAAGCATGTATTAAAAAAACTTAAAAATTCCTTAACTGGTATAGGACCAGAAAAATTACGGCCAATTAAATTTAAAGAGGCGGAGAGTTTGAAATTTAAAGGAAAGAGATTGGTTAGTTAGCCCCCCTAAAATTAAAAGAAGAAAATGAAAGGCGTGAATAGAGGGATTGGTTGACTTTCCCCACAGGAGGTGCGATGACCGCAATGACCATGAGAAAGGTCAACAAGAAAGTTAAAAATAAAATTGCTTAATAGAAAGAAAGGAATAATGTTTAAAGAAAAATTAAAGGCTTAAGTAAAATTAGAAAATTAAATTGTCACATTACATTAAGTGTATATGTGACAATCAATGTAATATAAAAAAAAGTATTTCAGCAATAAATGTTAGTAAATTACGGAAAAATGAAAAAAAACTAGATTAAAATATTTCCATTTTTTTTCAATAGCAATGACATTCACATAGCTTTTGTGGCTGATGTCTCAAGGTCAACTAATGAAACATCATACATCAAATCTCTGATGCAATAAATTTAGCACATGTTTTATACATGTATGCACTATATAATAGAATTGCATCACATTTTGCAACACTTCACATTACAAACATTTGATGTTTTCAATTTGGCGAAGGATAATTGACTATTAATCACAACAGCAAGCGATTGGCAAGTTGATAAAGGAATTGAAAAAGCCGGAAAGCATATTAGACTACTTGTGTTTTTTTGACCTCAAGTCTAATGAGATCTATTTCGTTAACGTCAAACTATGCTTATTGCTTTTCATTTGGTTATCTCATCTCAACGAGGCCATCGACTGACAGTTGTTGCATCTCAACAAGAGCACTAACTTTAATTTGCTGTGAAGAATTCCTGCCATTTGTTGTAATTAGGAATTTTTTTCTGGGTCTGAAAAATTTAAGAAGTACAGTTATAAGAAATTTCTGACTAAAATTGACTAACAAAGAAAGTTGCTAGGTTTTATTGTTTGGCATGTATTATAGAAATTAATAAAGCTTTATATATTTATTGTAGTTTCATTACGCAGTTGCAACTTTGTAGATTCAAATTTTTAATATCTGTCTTTCATTTCAGCTGCTACTTCTGTGATGAAAGCATACCCAACTATGACAATACTAACTTCTGAAGTCCATCCAATTGCTCCCAACCATTTTGGGCAGAAATATTTTGGCACTGATTGAAATTTTGTTTTCTGTTCCTAAATTGTGTTCATCACTTTTAGTCTGCTTTAGTCATACGGTATGATTTTATTTCTTTTAATGTTTTTACAGTTTATATAAATTTTGTGCATGCTTGATTAATTTTATTCTTTCTGGTATGTAGTATATCAGATGAGTTCAGTCTACTGATTACTTTCAGCATTATTGACAAGAACATAAAATAATTTTCTATGTCATTATATTGTTATTATAGTATAATTACACAATATAGAGAAAACTATGAGAGTATAATTTTACTGTATTTAAATATTATCATTGATTTATTCTTTTGGGGAGGGGATGAAATAATTTTTTTTTAGTTCTTGAGTTTTGTTAATTTTTATTAGCCTGCTATAATCCTATGCTTTTTACATGTGTTATGCTTGAAAACTCAATACAGGGTGCGTAGTGTTTTTAAAAAGTGCTTAAAGGTGCTTATTTTTGATTTACCTTCTTTAAAAGCCCTTAAAGGTGCTTTTTTTTATTTGGGATTTGTAAAAAGTGCTTAATTTTCTATCGTTTAAAAAGAGATTTTTTTCTTTGCCGTGTCAATTGTCGTTCTAAATTACAAAAAAATTCATGATTTCTCACAATTTTCTCTGCAATATTTATCAGAAACTAGTTATTTCATCGTAATTACGTAAAGTTTTTGAAAATGTTTTTGAATTTTATTTCTGTAAATTAAGAACTTTAAACTATAAAAAAAATATTTTTATTGCTGCGCAGATCCTAATTATGATTTTTTTTTGGAAAGTGATTACAAATATTTTTTGAGTGCTTAAAAAGTACTTAAAAGGGCCTTATTTTTTGTTGAAAAATCTGGCTATGCACCCTGTTAATATTAATTTTACTAGTACCATAATAAAATCATGAATGTGCAAAAAAATTTCTTTGAAATTAAAGTATTTAAAGGAAAAGAATATATAATAAAAGCTTATACTTTCTAGACTAGGTGTGACATTTTGAATCATGTTAGTCAAACCTGAAACAAATAAAAAAATGCACTTTTTCTAAGTCAAACTTGCAGATTTGTAATNGTGTGGCGACCGCCACCTATCGTTAAATACTTTCACTGCGCTTAAAAAAAAAGGGCCTTATTTTTTGTTGAAAAATCTGGCTATGCACCCTGTTAATTTTACTAGTACCATAATAAAATCATGAATGTGCAAAAAAATTTCTTTGAAATTAAAGTATTTAAAGGAAAAGAATATATAATAAAAGCTTATACTTTCTAGACTAGGTGTGACATTTTGAATCATGTTAGTCAAACCTGAAACAAATAAAAAAATGCACTTTTTCTAAGTCAAACTTGCAGATTTGTAATTTTGACGTTTTGTCAATAAAATAACAATGATAAATTAATCACATTGAGAATTCAATAATAGTTTAATTTATGACGGTATACAGGGGTCTGTCCAGACCGAATTTACTACCGTTTAGCGGTACCTTCACAAATTCAACTTTATGAAAAACGGTAGTTTCACAAATTTAATTTTAGGAAAAACGGTAGTTTCACAAAATACTTTTTCTTAAAATTTTATTTTTGTATTCCTTAAGAAATGATAAATCCATATTCTTGCTATATTTTTGTGTTGGATTTTTAAATATAATTTTTAAATTTTCACAAAATAGGTACCTTTCAGAAAAACCTAGACAGACCCCTGGTATAGTTACATAAAATGGAAATAACTACAAAGATGTAACTTTAAATAGCATCATTTGAATATTTGACATAGATTTGAATATTTGACATTTTTCATAGTTGCTTTTAAGTATCGGAAAACCTATATAATTGAGTGACTTGTCAATATTAAAAACGTTTTTTTTAATGCATATTCGATATACATTATATTTACATTACTACATGTTCGAACTGTTGAATAATATTTTGTATCAATTGAATCCAAGCAAGGAAAACTAGGAGTATGGTATGCATTAATAAATTTTAGCTTGAAACAGTGCCTTGTTTAAAAAAGTTAAAATTAAAAAATTTAGTGTTATATTTTGATTTAAAATTTTTTCTTTTAGTCTCTGAATGAAATTATGGGAAACAATTCATTCTTATAGAGTCCTAAAAACTCAAAGTTCTCTTATTTGGTATTCAAAAGAATAAACATATTAAATATCATACCAAAATTTTTAGTTAATCAATAATTTGCCACCCTTGCTATTTCACTTGGTTTAGTCAATTAATCACTGAAAAATTTAAGGTTACTAATCTGATAGTTATGTAAATTGTGTGTTTTAGTGAGGTTATACAGTGTTTTCATTACAGAAAAAAAAATGAAAGAGAATTTCTCACCCTTTTTCAAAAACAGGGTGAGATCTCAAAAAGTTAAGTGAGATTTCTAAAAATTAAAATAACACGAATAGACTTGGAAAAAAAATATTTCTTTAATTATAATACATTTTTAAAGCATTGAATATTTTTGCTGCTTCATCATATGTAAAACGTTCTATATCTACTTTTTCATCACCTTTTCTCATTAGGTTGCTCAAATGTTTATCAGTCATTTGTGTACGATATTTTGAGTGCTAAATGACCTTTCAACAGATGCTGAACAATTCGGAATCACTTAGTAATTTGTAGCATTGAAAAAAATTTAAACATCTTACCTGAAGAAATCTTACCTTCCGTGAACAAGTGGTTGCAGAAAAATGTGTTCTGAAAAGTATTCCTTCATTCGGGGGNGGGGGGGGCATTGTGTTCTGCTGTTCGCACCGGTTCTAAACAATACTGGTAAATAGGGAAGCTAGATAACAGGGATCTATGTTGAAAATAATGAAAGATCAAGGAAGAAAAGTAAAACGGATTTTATTAAAAATGGCAGAAGACAAATTTTTTTCCAAAATTCGCTCATTTTGAAATTTATTAATAGAGTGCGCGATCTTCTCGCGTTAATAATTTTTTAATGTGAGAGAAGAAAAAAATAAGCGAGGTGCTCGCGTTCTCGCGCTGTAGTGGAAACACTGTCATAGAACTTTAATCCCTGAAATAATTATGTATATTAATGTTCGGAATTTGTTAATTGAAAGTTAGTGTGCCAAAAAAAATATGGAACTCCTGAAATAACTATTGACCTAATGACTGGATTTTCACGTTTTAGGACTCAATCGTAATGGTTTAAGGGGGTGATTTCATATATGCTAATTAACTTGTGTAGATAATATTGTAAGTTACGAAAACAGACACAGCAACGTACTTACTCTGAATAAACACACATTTTGTATTTTGCCATGTAAAGTTACATACTTCAAAATGATGTAAAACAATTTATACCTTATAATTCAATTTTTTTCTCGGCTATTATTAAATAATATAATAAATATTTACTAAAATTATCTTTGGACAAGAGAATTTTATAATAATCTGCAAAAATGTTTAAATTCTTGACATATGGCTAAATACGCAAGAAATAAAAATAACTTTAAAGTGCTCTCTTGACCAAATTATTCCCATATTTTCCAGATTGTGGCTACCCTCTATATTTTGGGGGTTAGAAATCCAAATCCGTCAAAAGAAAGGTATGTTTATTCAGAGAAAGTATGTTTTTGTGTCTGATTTCGTAACTGAAAATATCGTCTGCACTAATTAATTTGCATATTTTAGACAACCCCATGAACCATTAAGCTTGAGTCCTAGAACGTGAAAGTCCAATCATTAGATTATATGTTATTCATGAATGTCCTTTTTTTATTTTTGCAATGTACACTTTTATCATATTTTTGATTAATAAATGTAAAAAAGAAGAAAAAATCACAATTTCTTACCAACCTAGCCATTTTGAACTAAAGTCTGTGTTTATATTTAATAATGTTTGTAATGTGTGGGTATTAATTAATATCACATCATGCAAAACCCAAGGTTAGGAAATACCATAATCTAAAATGAATCTATTTTTGCACTCAGTGTTGAAATTAATAAAGGTAATCAAGATGTTATGACTCGTGATATCTTTGCAGCACTGATAACATTGATAACGTTTCATGTTAAGCTATTAAATGAAATTTTTCTGAAAGCAATAGTTTAAGTGACATTTATGGTTTCAACCATTAAGAGTTTTTTTTAAAAAAGGATAAACTTGTTTCTTTTTATTGATAAGAATACTATGCACTGTCAAAAGTAAACCTATAAATCTAAATGAAGGACTTAGTCATTAAAAAAAAAGTGTTCAAAAATTAAATATAATATCTATGGCTTGTTTAAAATTTCTAATAAAGTATGTAAATCATTCACTTTTGAAGATGTTATTAAAGTGTTTCTTTGAACCTTCACATTCTTAGGATGGCTCAGTACCAGTTATGTGCATAAAGCTTTGTAGCTATTCTTATGCTGAGATCAATGGATTAAAAAAATAGAAAAAAATCAAAATGCAAATATAATCATTGAAGTATTGTGAAAGATTTGTTGAAGTTTATATTCAAAAATCTTTGTAAGGTGTACATCTTTAAGTATTATGATTAAAATTAGGAACTACAATCGTTGTGAGCTTTTTATTCTAGACATTGCTCAAAATGCGTGTTTAAAAAATGGACTTGATATTCTGATGTTGGTCCCGTTGTCAAACTGGAAATATGTAGCATGGTTAAAAACTGTTTTTAACTGGAACATTGAATTTTGAGCTTTACCAAAAACTGTGTGGACTAAAAGATTTTTTCTAACTATTTTTCAGCGAATGAAGTGTAGGAAATTTTTTACTGACTTTACATTGACACAGATTCTTACAGGACATTGAAATTTTAATAGCTACTTGTTTAGGTTTAATTTGGTAAATTTTGTGCTTGTGGTCAGGATGTTGAAACTGTAGAACACATATTTTAATGAAATTTATATTCAAGTCAAAAAGAAAGCTTAAAAAAGGAACTGAGACATTCAGGTATTTCTTGGCTACATGTTTTGTCCTTACTAGTTAAATGAATTGAAAACCTAAATATTTTACGGAATTTTGAATGCAACTTAAACTTTCAATTGTTCTGTTTCTTCTTAATTTACGACTGTACTTTGCCGACTTACATCTGTAAGCCTCATGTTAGACTTTGTGGAGCATGAGGAGTTGTTTAATAATTAATTAAGAAAATGGACATATCATTTGATTCTAATTTTCAAACTTCTTTTATTAAATTGTTTTTTAATAGAAAAATAAAATAGCTCCAAATAAATTCTTAACTTCATGTTAAATTTTTGCCGAAATCACTTAGTACATACATTTTTGGCGAAGGTTTTTAAAGTCAATGGTAGCTTTTACAAGGTTGTCACGGGCCTTATAAATTTTTAATAGTAATATTAGATTTTTAAAAATTACTTTATGGTTTAGTGATAGGATTATGAAAAGTTACATCTATAATATACTCAGCTACACCGACCCCAAAGTCCAAAACTTTGCCTTAGTGTTTTAAAAAGTATGTATGAAATTTCTCATTTAGTTGTTAAATTTGTGTTAGACATTAAAAAAGCACATTTTTTTGTTCTATTTATTAAGCACGCATTTTGAGCTGTGTTCAAAATGAAAAGCTCATCAATGATAAATGAAATATGATTTCATCACAGATATAGAAGAATTAAAAGTTTATAAACTTACCTTTAAATGACACTGAAGTCTTAAAATATGTGATCCAAAACTTTGATTATTCATATCATAAATTTCATATTTTAGCACACTCAAAACAGTGTGTTGCTTCAAAATGTTAGATTTTATTGCTTGTCTATATTTTTATTAAAGTTTGAGAATGCTTCTTTTATAAATTACGGACATAAAAGTTCTTAGCTTTCTGAGTTGAATGATAAGTTGTTATAGAGAGTAACAGGCTATTTAGGGACAATTAATTTCACTGAAATTTTAGATTCCGTTATTTTTATTTAATTAGTTTAATCGATGCAGCAAGTCTAGTCGCATAATCAAGTGCAAAAGCACCGTGACTAGAATTTTCTTTATCTGTAAATTATACCAAAAGCATTACAGGGTATGTTCTAATAAAGAAAAAAATAGCTGGTTGTGCTCAAAAATGTTAGCATTGTATACTTTTTTTTTTTTTATCACTTTTTGACCTTATAAAATTAAGTCATAATTTTACTAACACTTTTAGTCCTTATAAATTAAGTCATATTTGAAAAAATTTCTGGTTAAATGAGTTTAAAAGTTAGACACAAAAATACCTGATAAAAACTATTAGAACCATTTTTTCCTGGTTCCACCCCTCATACTCAAAATCACAGATTTAGATTCTTAATTTATTTAAATTGTTTTGTGAAAAATAATATAAATTAATTTTTTTTAATGTTTATAAAATGTCTTTTTATTTTACAGGTGTACATCCAACTGTAAAAAAGATGAGAAATTTTGTTTTAGTTTTTTTCCCCTTGTGATATCATGTGTATAAATATCAGAAAATTTAATTTATTATATTTGTTACATTTTGCAATAAAGTGTTTACATTACATATAACTTTTTGCATCTTCTTGATTTAAAATTATTGTTTTCCTTACTGTTGGTGGGCATTTAATATTTTTATTAACCACAAATTTTTGGAAGTGTGTTTTTTCAGTTGTTGCTTGATATTTTAAAGGAAGCCAAACGATATGTATTGAAGTATTAATATTATATACATTGCATGAAGTATTAATAATATAAACATGAAGAAGCCAATATTCTTGTTTATCAGAAAATATATTAATATACAGTGCTCCAAATAATAAAACCACCCAGAATAACTTATGTCTAATGTCTAAAGATCGAATCTTCACGCTCTAGGACTCAATGGTTGAAGGGGGTGACCTCAAATATGCTAATTAATTAGTCTAGGAAAATGACTTTTTCTGAATTAACATACCTTTTTTTTCAACAGATTCAGATCAGACCCCTTAAATATAAGGGGTAGCTGCAATCTGGAATATATGACTCTAATTGTTTGGTTAGGAGAGAGCTCCTAAGCTGGAGGAACCTCTTAATGTTTATTTTATTTTTTGCATATTTCAAATTATTAGCTTTTCATGTTCTGACACTTAATTTTAATGGTAACAGGACCTAACCTTAAATATGCTTATTAATTAATGCAAAGAAGATTTTTAAGTTAAATGTACTTTTTTGAACAAACATGTGCTCTTGTACCCATGTTTGTTTGGATTTGTGCTCTTTAAAATTATACAATCTGAAAAATATGTTTCCAATAGTTAAAGCAGGTGAGTGGTTGCAAGATTGGGTTCCTTAATGCTCATTTTACTTTTTGCTCATTTCCTTTTGTCTTGTGAACTTTATAAGCAAATTTAAAAATATTTTTTGGACACAATATAAAGTTAGTTTACCTTAAGATAAATCCATATGAAAAATAATTTTATTTTTTCTTACTTCATTTAATAATTGTCCAAAACTTTTTAAATTGTAAGGTATACAAATTTTAATATCATTTTAAGTTTGTAATTTTTAATGAAAAAATACATTATTTGAACAAACTTATTTGAATCTTGTGAAATCAATATTTAAATGTAAGATTTTCTAAAATTGAATAACTCAGAAACTATTCAGATTGATTTTGTTCAAATTTTGTATTTTATTTGAAATCACCTATTTTAAAAGTTAAAAAAAAATTGTTTGCTTAATGATTGAAAGTTTTAGAATATTATGAAATAAAATAAGTATTAGTGTGGTTACTTCTATATTTTCAAGATCAAATAACCGAATTCTTCTAAGAAAAAAAAATATGTTTATTCAGAGAAAGTAAGTTTTTATGTCTAATTTTGTGAATTAATATATCATCTGTTCTGATTAATTAGCATATTTAAGGTCAGGCCCTTGAACTATTAAGATGAGTCGTAGTATATGAAAATCCAGATCATTAATTTAAAAGTTATTAAGTGTGATTGCTTTTTTTTTCTTTCTGTACTCTTTTTGAAATGTATAAGTTAGTAGCCTACTCTTGCTTTTTCTAATATTCATTGAAAAGGTAAAATCGATTTATTAAATCTAACAGGAGGTTCAATAACTTTAAATTAAGCAATTAATTAGTTACTTTACTTGGCAAACGAAATTAGTAACTGAGCAAATGATATTTGCCTCACCTTTTGCCTACATATTATTGTTAAACCTTGCCTACAGATTAGTCATATACAATATATTAAAATAACTGACTTTTAAAATGCGTCCAATGAACTAAACGACATTAATATACTTACTTCTAACTATATTCATTGTATTCTACTTGCAGCTGAATTTTGCTGATATCTTAAACTTTAATTACAGCTTTATCCAGACTTCTATTCAATTCTTTTAACCAGTTCAGACTTTTCCTTCAGCTAATAAGATCCTCTAAATTATTTTCTCAGATTTTTACATTTCAAAAGAACTGTAGTCTTTCGCAGTTGGTGATTTCCAATATTCAGTTAGCTCCTGATTGTCTGCAGTCTTTAAGGGAATCTGCAAGGATGGAATGATTTTTCAATTGGATCTACATTTAAACTTCTAATACCTAAATAAAGATGAGTATTAAAAGCTTTTGATTTTAAAAATGAATGTAGAAGTCATGATTTGTAATTAAATCAATTAGACCAAAATTTAAATTTGTAATACTTAAATATAGATGAGTATTGAAAGAAAAAAAAAAACTTTTTACTTTAAGAAAGAATGTAGTTGACATGATTTGTAATTAGATCAATTAGACTTACATTTAAATTTGTAATGAACTTACATAAAGACGAATATTGTAAGAGATAAAAGCTTTTAACTTTGAGAAAGAATGTAGGAGCCCCTTTTTTCTGCTACAGATTATGGGAAAATGATACATTTCAATGTTAAAGGGAATATATGCCAGTGAAATTAACACACTGTAATTTCGGTCAGAGTTTCACCAAGTGCGTGTAGCGGTGCCATGGAGTACCACGAGGTGTCTGTAACTTCAAATCTAATATTAATCCTTTAATAGTAATTTCCTTTATAGTAATTAAATACATGAGTTCTAAGTGAAAATGCGAAGAGGGTATTTGTACATTTGCAAAGTTAGGTTTTCAGGGGTTACTATTCTGAAAAAATGTTGTTCAGAAATAAATGTCGAAAAATAAATGCAAGTGGCTTCTATATTAAGCTTTATTTCACAATTTGGAAAATTATGTAATGAATAACAAGTCAGCGTGTGTAGCGTTTTTAAAAATTGCTTATTTTCGTTTTTTAAAATCCCTTAAAGGTGCTTTTTTCATTGGGTGTTTTTAAAAAGTGCTTAATTTTCCCTTTTTCAAAATGAGATTTTTCCTTTACTATGTTGATTTTCGCTTCGAATTATGCAAAAAGACACAGTTCACATTGTTCTGTTCCACGTTTTCACAATTCAACCCCAATCTATTTCGGCGTATTGTCAGTCACTAGCGTGTGAAAACAACATTCATTTTACATGATTCAAAATTTCATGATTTTTGAGAATTATCAAAAACAATGCCAAAAGGTTTTTTTTTTTTTAACATGACGGTTAAAACAAGATAAAACCGTTAATTGTCAAAAACTTTCCTTCCCAGCCTAATTATGATATTTTTTAAAGTGCTGAAAAATATTTTTTGAGTGCTTAAAAGGTGCTTATTTTTTGTTGAATAATTTGGCTACACATCCTGCAAGTTCATATATCACACTAAATGGATTCACAATAACTTTGAGTGTGAAATTTTTCTTTATTTATAGTGTTGNCGGTTAAAACAAGATAAAACCGTTAATTGTCAAAAACTTTCCAACCCTGCCTAATTATGATATTTTTTAAAGTGCTTAAAAATATTTTTTGAATGCTTAAAAGGTGCTTATTTTTTGTTGAATAATTTGGCTACACATCCTGCAAGTTCATATATCACACTAAATGGATTCACAATAACTTTGAGTGCGGAATTTTTCTTTATTTATAGTGTTGGTGGACAGACTAAAGAGACGAAATGACTTCTGGACGACCGTCAGTCCATAGGCTAAAATGACAACCTACCTTTTTACAGTGGACAACAGAGCTGTGTACCGTTTGCGACAGGAGACAAGCTTTAATAGTAACAATGAATTTTCATAGACATCTGAGCTTGGCTGAGAGTAATTTGGATTTGGTTTTGTCTGTTAGTAAAAAGAATGACCTAGAGACGGAGTCTAAAATTGCCACCTTAGCCACCAAATTGCCACAGAATGCAAAACTGCCTGCATGTGTATGGTTCTGCTACTGGGGCTCATACAAATGTTGGTGTTTACTTTAGGCACTTTGGCCTCAGCAGAACCATTGGTAAGTATTGTACTAATTTTTGATGGTGAAGCGGATGCAGTTTACATAGTATTAACTGAAATTGCAGAAAGAGAGAAACAGAACATTGCTATTTTTATTGATCCCCTGGCCTCTATCAGGGCTATCTCTTCAGTTATATTTGCTAAAAATAATTCTGCTCTTGAATGCCAACTTGTGATGGATTTTCTGATAAATGTGGACGCATTGTTGCCCTACTATCGACAGGGATACCAAGTCATGTCATTGTGGTATTGAAGGGAACAAGTTAGTCGATTCACTTGCTGAGGCCGGATCTAACCTTCCTCGACCAGGTCTCCCTGCCAGTTTCCAGAGTATTAAAAGAATTATTACTGGCAAGTCTAAAGCCAGATATCATGAAACTACTGTCAACTTTACCAGTGGAAAGACCATACCATATGAATTGCCCTGACGGATGGGCGTACTAAAGGATATTAACTTCAGGAAAGGACTTAATAAAAGATTTTAACTTTAGGATATTAACCAGGTATCCTTTGGAATCACCTTCATAAAATTGGATTGTCGGAATCTCCGATTTGCCCAGCCCACTCTGCGTGACTGGATCTGACATGAGCAGTGATCACTTGAATTGCTATCCTGGACTTACTGACGTAGTAGCTGTAAATGCTGCGAGGAATTTTAATCATTTTATTTGTGTTTCTGATTTTATTATTTATAGTTTCTCATGTACTATAATTACACCAAAGAATTTTTTTTTTTGCATGAGATTTAACTGATATAGGATATTTTAAGGTTGTATCTCTCTCCAAGCTACCGTTCTTTTATTAAATGACATTTTTAGTCTATTTTTTTTTGTCGAAATGTACAAGTTTAAAAACGTTGTATATAACAGGGGGTCTCGTAAGTGTTGGGGCACATCATCAGGATTTAAATTGCATAGGAACCCATTCTCGGAAATGTCGAATTATGAAGTTTATAAGTTATGAAGCAACACTAATCTAATGAGTTATGAAGTTTATTTCATAAATTTTTATTTAAAATTATAAAAAAATTCTGCTGCCATTTCAGGCACCTAGAAGAAAAACGTTTTTTAAATTTTTTTTTATTCGCTCTGAGCTCAAGTTTTATCGATTAACGTTTAGTAGAGGTACTATTATTTTTTTAGGGGTAATTGTGACAAATTTGAGTTCAAAACTATAACGTTAAAATACCGTAAAATCAGTAAATTCACTATCGA